GGATTGTTGGGGTCAGGATACTATTGAGAGTGCGGTAAAAAGAAAGGATATGGGTGGTATGAAATTGAGATGGTGAAAAGGGCTGCAGTTATTCGTAATGACCATAGAGGGGAACAGGTGACATAGGATAGAGGACAAGATCAAGAGAAGAATTCAAGGAATTGAGAAGCCAGGATATTGGTAGGATCGTGACCTGTTTGTACAGAAATTCCTAAGAATTAAGTCAGAGGTAGTATTAGAGTATTGCAGACAGTGGCCCATGAACCAGGAGCTAAACTGGCTGAGAAATGAGAAGTAACTGGGGTGTTAGCAGATGACAACACAGAGAGAAACACAATAACATAACTTGAAGTCATGAGATTTGGAATTGATGGTTTTTAGGAAAGAGAAAAGTAGAATGATCTGAAAGTAGCAATGAAGAACAAAGAGGACATCTACCCCATTTCTAGGCCCACTGGGGTAAGGTTTATGAGAGTAAAGAAAAACAAACATGTGAGAGAGCAAAAGGGAAAGCAGCGTTGAGGGAAAACCAGGTTTCTATTAGAGCAAAGTGAAGCTGATGATAAGTGAAGGAGATTTTGCTAGTAATGAACCATGAATGACAGACGGCACAGTGGACCAGTTTCAGGAGCTTAGGTGGGATGGGAGGAGACAGAATAGGAACTACACAGAATCTCATGGCAATTAGAGTATGGGAGATTAAGGGAGACTTGTGGTGAGAGACATAAACCAAGATAAGTGGCATATAAGATCCACTGGATTCTAAGCAAACAGTGATGGCAAGGTTTGGGTGCAGAGGAGTACATGAGGGGGTGATTTAGGTTTTTTATACCACCGGTGACAGGGAGATGACAACCTGGAAGAGGTGTGGTACTTTTTCCATGTGTAGCACTCCTCACAACCCCAGGTGATAGGGGTAGATTATGTTTTTAAATCACAAAGCTTTGATATTACAGAGCTTCCCAATTGCTTTGTGCTAACAGTCTAACCCTATTCAAAACCCAAGAGAAGCTATTAATAGTACTTAAAAGACAACAATCCCAACAAAATGTTCACTTGAATAGTACCTCTGCTCCTAATCCTATGTTGAGAGGAGTAAAGAACTGATGAAACAGAAATCTTTCTGCCAAGAGCGAAAGACAAAAAAGGCGGTGCATGGTTGAGCTCTTACGAAATCTTGTTTTCAAAGGTTAAAGCTGCAAAACCTATAAAGATTCATTAATAAAGATCCAAGTGGGTGAGTGCCACCCAGCAGACAGAAGAGGATCACAGGGAAATGGAAAAAGACCCTTAGATCCCTTTTGGCAAAGAGGGAATTGCTCCCCACCATGAGCTCCTGCTGAAGCCTAAAGCCTGAACCAAGGAAGTTATGTAAAAGCAGTACATAGACAGGTATGACTTCTGGGACAACAGGACTGGACCCACACAAGTTTAATCCTAACTAGAATACTGTTGGGTGTTTTTGTTTTTTTATGAAATTCTCAACTCTTGATTAAGATCTTACTTTTCAGCCAGAGTTCTTCCTAAATTACCACCATGAAATACTTGGAGCACTGTTCTGACGCTCCCATAAGGTACCTCATACTTTAACAGGCTAATGCTCCATATTGTCCATTGTACACCTACCAAGGATGATTACCTTTAGGATCTTATGAGTCCAAAAGATTTTTGGAAGGAAGAAATAAACCTAAGAAGCAAAGCCACTGAATTTAGGACGTCAGTTATCACTGACCATGCTATGGTTCAAGAGGTGATATTTTTAATGGGATCATGTGATCTACAAAAGAGTAAGAGTTGGAAGGAATGTAGAATGAAAAACTGGTTATCCTATACATATAAATGATGTATGCCTGAGGTCAATACAGTAATGAAAATGCTACCCTGGAGAAGATTAACAAAAGAAATTTAATTATTGGACATGTTTCCAAGGAATTCAAAAGCAGTGTCAACAAAGAGTCCATGATAAAAGACTCCTTACTGATCACCATGAGGAAAATGAGAATGTGAAAAAGGACCAGAAGTTTTAGGGCACTGCCTATCAAATCTAAATTCAAAATACTCCCTGGGGCCGGGCACGGTGGCCCACTCCTGTAATTCTAGCACTCTGGGAGGCCGCGGTGGGCAGATTGTTTGAGCTCAGGAGTTTGAGACCAGCCTGAGCAAGAGCGAGACTCCGTCTCTACTAAAAATAGAAAGAAATTAATTGGCCAACTAAAAATATATAGAAAAAATTAGCCGGGCATGGTGGCGCATGCCTGTAGTCCCAGCTACTTGGGAGGCTGAGGCAGAAGGATCACTTAAGCCCAGGAGTTTGAGGTTGCTGTGAGCTAGGCTGACACCATGGCACTCACTCTAGCCTCTGTCTCAAAAAAAAAAAAAAAAAAAATACTCCCTGGCAAGGAATAAACTGAATAAGTAAATCCCTGATTTACGGGAAATAAAGAATTCAGAAAAAAACAAGAGACTAATTCTTAAGAGAGAAATAACGTATAGGAGAACCTGTAGTATAAGTTTTAGGACCAGTTCCTGTCTCTTTGCTCTTCTCCTCGTAAAAAGAAACACATATTCTTGAACCTTAATGAAGCAGTGGCTAGAGACCTCTGCTGTAGGATGTAGACGTGCAGAGGGAGGCAGGTGTTTTCTTCAATGCCCGTTCTTGGAGAAGCTAGTAGATACACGGAAGGTTTTAGGTAACAATAAAACATAAGGGGGATATAGGCATGTTTGACAAATAGCAGGGAGTTGTGTTTAGCAAGCAAGATAGGAAATAATGCAATATGATGAAAAACTAGTGTCCAAATAACTTCCTCATCAACACTGGCAAGCACTGGGCTGAAATCATCTAAGCAGCACCTCTTCTGTGCTAGATAAGCATGTCTTATTTCTCCAACTGGATCAGTTTTCCTGGAGTTGAACATACCATAATCAGAACATGCCTTCTCTTTTATAATCCTAAATATCTAGTATCTCACTTACTTTCTCTAATTTAATATTGTTCCCTTTTTTGTACTCAGAGTCACTGCCAATTTAAGGACATCTGTGCCTGAATGAAGTGGTTGCTGAAGCCAGTATATCCCCTTCTTGTAACTTTTGTCTGGATCTAAGCTTTCAGAGGCTCTAGGGCAAGTATATATTAATATATTCACTTCTGGGATGCAGAGGGCTAGAGCAAGAACTTTGAAGTTATAGTCTAGAGTTTGAACCCTGGCTCTGGCACTTACTACACAGCCTTGAAAAAGTTATATAACCCATGTTTCTACTTCACCTGGAAGATGGAATATTTACAGAGTGGTAATGAGGAGTTATTTATCATTTAATTATATCATCAATATTAAGACTATGAATGAGAGACTCGGTAACTGACACTGGTTTCCGTATTCAAATTGAGCTGATTCAATGTTCAATTCAGTATTCAAGAACTATTTTTAAAAAGGAGTAAGGATGAAGGTCTTTTTCTGAACTACTGTACTAGAGACGTTTAAAGCACTGGAAGCAAAGTAAACCTTGCATCATACTGAGGAGATCTGGGTCCTCTGAGTGCTTACTTCCGAAGTTTTGAGAGCTTGAAATTCCTTACCTGACAAAAAACTAAACTCTAACTAAAAAGCCAAAAGCCTTTTCACTAAAGTGTTTTGGTATGTTATAAGAAAGGGGAGTACCAATTGTATTTTTGAAATGCTACCATATAACAATTCATAATGGGCCTATAATGCCAAGGAAGACCACTAAACTGCCGAAAACCCAACATAATACAAATGCAGAGGATAAAAGGATGGGGGCAGAAAGGGGAGTGATGGTGAAGAAGGGTCCAGTCACTATACATTTGCAATGGAACTCAGAGCACAGAGACCAGACCCAAGAAAGAAACTTACGCCAGAAGCCAACATAGGGACAGAGTCTGTGATTAGAAAATCACTTGATTTTAACTTTCATTGTCAACTAGTCTTTACTAATATACTAGAGTAGTATAAGTGGTCACCATCATAGTATTTTTTTACCTAAGAGAGCGGAAGTAATTCCCTAGGCTGGACTTTAGCATGGAAGGTGACAGTTCTCTTAGAGGAAAAGGCCATTTTACCCCGAATGACAGGGCAGTAAGATAGGCCTGAGCATTATATTTCACACTCCTAGACACAAACACACATGTAACTAGGGGCCACCAAAGGCACCTAGCAATCTATCAGGTGCCTTATTAGAACAAAGTGCACCCTGGTTTTACCAGATCACTTAAGGAAAAAAATAATTGTCTTTGCGTGTAGGTGTGGAGAGGAAATGCTCCGAAGTTGCACTTAATTTTCACCACTAGGGTAATAATAAAGCTCTAAATAAACAAAAGTGCTGGAAGAAAGCATTAATACAAAATCATTAGGCTATAATGGTCATTATACGCAAGATCTTTTAAATACTATCGCTTTCAGGGGAAATAACTACAAGTGCACTATCACAAGGCAGCATAAAACCACAAGAATTAGGAAGTGAAGAAAAGAGGGCAAAGGAGATCAGCTCTTCTAAAATAAAAGAAAACATGAAAGTAAAAAGAAAAGCAAGAATTTACATAGAAGACAAAGACCGGAAGTCGAGATACCTGGATCTGATTATATAATCTTGGAAAAGCTAGCTAACGCTATATATGCTACCACAGAGATAATACCCTACCTGTCTCGTAAGGCTTCTTTGCAGGTCAAATAGGGTAACATACGTTAAAGTACCTTGGAAATTATAAAACACAACAGAACTGTAAGGTAATGGTACTTAAGTTGTCCCTCACTTTCCAAAGAAAGAACAAGTATATGGGAGCTTCACCTTAAAATAACTTTCTTCCCTATTAGTTAACACCACAGCTACTGGTCCTTTTGAACTCCAGAAAAATAAACTAGCAAAAGAGAAATCAACCCTCACTCTCTGGTCTCAGTTTTCTAAAGAGAAATCCCTTTACATCCGTTTCATCTTTTTCTCTAATATTCAAGAGATCACACTAAAAGGCTCTCTTGTATTCTTACCTTTGGAAGCTGCAGGAGCGGAGGGCCAGGAGGGAGAAAGCATCAGATATTGGGAAGAAATGGAAGAAAAAAGGAATCACATATGTTTCTTTGTTATTGTTGACAGTCGCTCAGCCACCCAACCTGTCAAAGACTCTACCCAACCCTTATTAATTAAGTACTCAGGTCTGGAGATGGCACCCTAAGGCAGTGCCCGAGTCTGTCCAAGAGTATCACCAAAATCACAATAAGGTGAGCTTGTGTCACCTTTCTCACATCCCCAACAAGTTGTACTGACAAAAAATACTGACTTACAACAGTTCTCTTTCCCAAACCCAGTAACTCCATAATACAAAAACATCTTCCCTTCTGAATGGGGAAATTCATCTCTCTTCCACCCAACATTCCCTTTCTACCCTCACCCAGAGAAGAGAAGGGAATGAGAAACCTACGGAAAGGATATTCTAAGCCCTACATTGGACCTTTGCATTAAAGAGGAAGGTACTCACTCTTGGTCTGGGCAGAGAAGGTATGGGTAAGTTTGGCGAAAAGTTCATTGTTCTCAAAGCGGTCCTCCTTCACCTTTGTCCAAAAGCAGTCCTGGGAGAGGTCCTCAGCCACAAACTGTGAATAAAGGCAGGTGTTAAGACTTACTAAGCTGAGCCCTATACTTTCCATCCTAGAAAACTGCTGAAGATGCAGAAGGGGTGGCTGGCTGGTTATCAACAAGGTCTTACTGGAATAAGACTAACCTGAGACACGGAGAACAGCTGTAGTGGAATTAGGAGATGAGGCTTCCAGTCTGTTTATTGTTGATTATTCAACAACTAGATTCAGTGACACTACTCATTCTCCTTCTAACTCCAAATCCTCTAGCTTCAGAAGCATGAAGGCTTTATTTCACATCTTCTCTTGCTCTACATTACATTTTCACCATCAGTTTGGGCAACTGTGCCAAATTTGTTCATTTTGCGAACAAATACATGTGTGTATCTAGGAGTGTAAGACCGTAACGCTCAGGACAGCTGTTTGCATTCAGGGCAAAATGGCCTTTTCTTCTAACAGAACTGTCACCTTCAGTGCTATGAACAAACCACTAAGCTTTTTATTTTGACTTGGTTTCTGGAAGCAAAAGGCTGACTCAGAATCATAGGTATCTCAAACACATCATGGCAACAATACTGTGCCATGCAAACATGACCTGTTCAACTCCCATCCTGGGGAATGGGAGTACGAGAGTGTGTTCATAAATCTAAGACTTTTGGATCAGCACAATTATCAGTAGTTTGCAGATTGGTGAAATGACTATTATCAAACTCTGTGTTACCATGGTACTCATATCCTCAGAGAAAAAGCAAAAAATATTAACTTAAGGATAAGTTTAATTAGGATAAGTTCAGAGTATAGGGTTTACAGAACTCTCCACAGTGAAGTCTGGCATATAAGAGATGTCTAATATCTGCTGAATAAATATAAGCATGAGTGGAACTTGAAAATAGAAAGAGGCACGCCATAAGGGAGGCCCACCCAAGCACAAAATACAAAGTAGGAAACTGAAGTGGTTTCTTAATATCTACAGACGAAGAGATGGACAGAAAGTCTTACCTTGGACCAGTTTGGCCTCCGGAGCTGCACCTCTGGCTTATAAAGCTTTTTGGGGGTTAATCCAAATGGTAGAACTGGGGCTGCGGGAACTCCAAATCCAAAGAGGGGAGGTGGAGGAATGCCAGGACCTCCAGGAAATGGAGGTGGTGGAGGGATTCCAGGACCACCAGGAAGAGGGGGAGGTAGAGGTGGCATTCCTGGTCCTCCAGGCAAGGGAGGAGGAGGTGGAGGGATTCCAGTACTCCCAGGCAAAGGGGGAGGTGGGGGTATGCCAGCATTCCCAGGCAAAGGGGGAGGTGGAGGGATGGCAGTAGCTCCAGGCAAAGGAGGGGGTGGAGGGATGGCAGTAGCTCCAGGCAAAGGAGGGGGTGGAGGGATGGCAGTAGCTCCACGGGGTGGAGAGATGGCAGCACCTCCAGGCAAAGGAGGGGGAGGTGGTGGAGGAGGAATGGTACTATCTCTACCAAGAGGAGGTGGGGATGGTGGTGGAATAACAGTGCTGGAGTCACCAGGTGAAGGAGGGGCAGGGGGAACAGTAGCACTATTAGGAACAGAAGGAGCTACAGCAACAACTGCAGCGGAGAGAGAAGCCACTTCTTTCTTGGCATCTTCCAGTTCCTTTGACAGCTTGGCAACCTACAGAAACAATATCAATATGAGTATTTCTCATCCCACTGCAGGGACTACGACAAGGGCTGGAAGAAACTTACTTGATCAAAACTTCTCATTTTACACATGGAGGGACTGAGAGGAGCAAGACAGATCGCATGATTTACCTAAAGTCACGCTGCTATTTAGCAGCAGAGCCAAAACTAGAATTCAGGTCTTCATGTTTAAGAACGTGAAGCATGCTTTGTATTAAAAACACAACTTCAACCTTTACCTTAAACTCTCCCTTTGATTAGAAGATGTAAGGGTCAAGTAAATCAAATGTTCTAGTTATATAACTAACAGAGGCACTATGCAGGTCATTATATAACCAGGTAAGTGGCCAAATTATCAGATAACACAGACCATTTAAATATTTATCACCACGGAGAGTAAGGATAAATCTGTGCAGTGTGATGAAGATAACAGAAAATTATACAATATGTAAACAGCTTAGTTTTCACACCTACATTAGAAGACTTATTACCTTTATTTCTGGGTGGGACTGTGAGCAACTCATTGTATTCTTAATGTTTTTCTGTATTTTCCAAATTTTCTGTTTTATGTATTATGCCCAAAAATAACCAGTATATGATTTTAAAAATATGCACCATCTAATTAGATCACCTAGTAGTAGCTGAACCCTACCTAGGAGTGAGATGACTGACCCCTATTCCAAGGTATGCACTTCCTGAGGTTATAGGTCAATCTGCCCTCCCTGCCCAGGCATTACCTCTCCTGTGAGCTGGGACACCTCTGCTTCCAGGTTCTGTTTCTCTGTGGCAATTTGTTGCTTTTCAGAATCCAATGCATCTTTTTCTCCCTGAATATCCTGAAGCTTCTGCTCAAAGTCATTTTCCATCTTTTTCATTTCCACCTGTAGCTCATGTCGGGCTGTTAACTCTGAGTCCAGCTAAAGGAGGAAGGAATCAGGCTCCCAGCAAGCTCTCCATCTCAGTAAGAAGCACAAGTTTATTCCTCACAATTTACTATTTTATGCCAATAGTTGATCTATAGAGCTCACTGACCCACACCACAGGCAATGCCGCGGGGGCAAAAGCACCATGATTTTCACCTTAAAGTCAAGGTTAAAGGAAAGGGGATTGGGGTTATTTTAATAGTCTTCCTACTCTTATAGTTTAAAAAAAGAAAGAAAGAAAAGAAAAAACCTAAGATTTTAAAGATATTTAACCAGGACAGCCATGGTAGTATAATCCCAGTAGTCTCTAGGATCAAAAACCTATTAACAACAATAGGAATCCTTGACTTGGAAATTCATACCCAGGAAATTAAGTGAATTCAGAGAAAAAAAAAATTTTTAAAAATAAATAAATAACCAATAGGCGTCCTTAACAACTGAAGAGAAAAAGAAGACTCAGATATACTCCAGTGTCTATTGTTCTTGGAATAAGAGGCTAAAATGCCAAACAAACCTGAGAGTGCCACCGCTATTATACAACAGTATCATCTGTCTTTCTTGTCCTGCCTAGTGACTCAAGAATTGTGCAAGCCCACCCCTAGCTCCTCATGGTCACGCCCATATCACCTTCTCCAATGTCCAGAGGAAAGGTTTCCTCTGGGAATTACACTGCTGGGTGCTAAATGATTTCAAAATACCACACACAAAAATGGTCTCACAGGTCAGGAAAACAATAATCCTCAAAGAAACATAAACCTAAATTTTTTTTTTTTTTTTGGAGCCCTCACACACACCTTTTTTTCCAGCTCTGTAGCTTTGGCTTCAGATTTCTCCACCTTTGTTTTGTCAATCATTTGATCTGAAAAGAAGAGTCAGTAAGGAAAACTCCCAATTCTACTGATCTACCTCTTTCATACCTAAGCCCTTCAATATAATCAAAAAGCAATCTTTTGTCCTTTTGCCTATTTTTATTACCCTTCTTAATGTTCTGCACTAAACAAAGAAATCAAACTTTCAGTTAAGTTCAACATATAATTTCTGAGTACCTACATAATAAGGCTACCACATGCTGGGTGGCATGAAGAATGCCTATGCGTGATACCTTTGACTCTGGGACCAGCAGGAGTTACATCCCTGTAAAAGGTGGTGGTATGTGAGGAGGGGTAAGTTTTGACTTACGTAGAAATAAACTAAAGGCCTGTATATTCCCAGCAAAGATACTGGTTATGACCTAAGAAAGGACTAAAATGGAAAAATCTGGGGACTGGAAAGATATCTTCTCTGAAATTTTCAGTGAAAGACAGAAGCAAAGGAACCAGACAGAAGGGTATGCTTACCAATCAATCCCTCAATATCAATCCGAAGGTGCCGGCACTTGAAGTCAGGGTCGGCCCCATTCTTATGCAAAACTATCTGGGAAATACATTCTTCAATCAACTTATAGTACTGTGGTCTACGAGAGAACAAAATGGGGTTATCAAAGGAAAATAAAAATGTAATTTTCAAAAGTATTCAGGACTAAAAAAAGTTAACTGCTTTGATAATTAAAAAACTTGAGGATAAGTGTTCTGGAAAAAACTTTTTGTAAAGTTAACAGAAGTATCACCGCCATGCTAAGAAATCTCCTTCTTCCATACCAGCTATCCTACTGTTTCAGATAATCAAAACTTCTTGCCATCTGAGTCCTAGTGCCAATTCTTTCCCATCTAAAAATTGGAGCTTGATCAAGTGTGATGGATACCACTATTGCTAAATCTCTACTTCCAGGCAACCAGAAAGAATTTTAAGTTGCCACCTCCCTTTGCTATCATCTTCACCGCACCCACCCACTGCCCTCCAAAAATGGAAGGGCATTTCACCTCATACATCTCTTACATAGGGATGCCTTTCAGTTGAATTAACTGACAACCTCCCTTGTATCTGTGACTAATGACCAATCCTGGTTCTTTGTCTTTTCTTTTTCCCTTTACAGAACAATCTTTGAATTTAAGGATTTTGCTTTCTCCAGTTAGGCTCAAATTCAGAACTTTGCACACGCACGCCATCTTACCTGGCCTCATAGTCATTTCGTACCAACAGGAGGTGCTGCAGGATAGACAGGAAGTGTGGCTCTGCCTTTGAATCTTTCACTGTGTTTAAGAGAATCTGGAAGACTTCACTAAAGTCAGTGGAAAAGGGGAACAGGCTAAGGAAAGCAAAAGTTTAGAAATTATGTTTGACAGGTGCCTTGCTCAACTCTTGGAGAAACTAGGGAAAAGTAGCAAGGCACCACTTCCACTCTAACGGCTGTTCCTCCTGTATATATCGCCAGAAACTTTAAGCTCTATACAACTGCCTTTTGCTGAGGGACCAGTGAGTTGATTAGTACTATACGCAGAGACAGGATTCCCAGTACTTGGCTTGAAGATCAGGCAGTAGACAGAAACTAAAAGACAACTGCCTCAAAGTCAATGGTGGCAAATATTAAGAGGTAATCAAATTACTCCCTCTGTCAGTGCAAACATCTCTGAAAACCAGCTCTACATTTCAGAAAACTAGGCTATCACGGTATAGGAAGTTTACTCTGATACTGATGGCTGCTTCCATGCTGAATAACTCTCAGGTCACCTTTACTGACTTCCCATGCTGAAGTAAACAAAGCCACCAGCAATAAAAGGACACCTGCCTTATTTACCGAGAAAATACATAAGCCTGCTTCCCTGTTCTAAGTCATCATTCCCCAACCATTTCATACAGGGATCTGCAACTGAATGCAATGAATGTCTTATCTGTCTTGAACCCAGTCAGTAAAAGGATATTCCATCTCCATGCGAATGTCATCCAGCCTTCCCTTCAGGTCATACGAATCTTCTTCCCCTTGTTCATCAAATACAGTTAGTTGCACTCTCATATCTTCATTTTCAATCTCTCGAAGGTCCTGTCAATGACAAAAGTAGAAGTTAGGGAACCCAAAAGTATTTTATGGGGCTAGAAACCCAGGCCTTTCAAACCTGGTTTTTAAGTTGAAAACCAGAGTTATGCCAGGGATAAGAGGGGCTATAAGAGCAGAATCAACCCTGCCTTTCTGATAAAGTGTAATATTTTACCTGCAACACCTGATGTAGCCCCAAGCGCATCAGTTCACTTCGGATGTGAACTCGGAAGTCAAGTTCTTCAGCTGGAGTGATGAGAGCATTGATCAGCTGTAGGCATCCCACCTAAAATAAGAAAATTCAGCAGCTATGTCAATGCAAACTCCTGGAGCTCAATATTGCATTTTCTTTACATGCATTCTGAGTCCCCAAATATAACCTGAAAGGTACTGTACAAAAACTCTAAAAATGACTTTTCTACTAGAGCAATGAGATCTAGTTGGAGTATAGGTCCAGAGAACTCAGAACTCTAAATGATTCCAAGGATTTGACAGTAAGCTTTGTTATTGTAAGCCTTGGTTTTCCTAGCTTGTAAGATATCATGTCTTTTTTCCATCTCATAATGAGGAAAACTGTTCTTTGTCTTCTTAGAGAGAAAGTGAATCATTTCCCCTTCAGAACAAATTCTGAAATATAAAACACATAGTTGGGAGCCACTCCATGTGTTCTAATTAAAAGGTCAAAGGAACTTTGACTAAAGACTTTCCTTCTTGAATTCTGTGCTTGGGCTCAGTTTCAGGGGATATACATGCCTTGAGTGCAATGGAAGTCCCACTTTTTAATCCATCCAACAGTGGCTGGAAACGTTCCACCTCATCCATCTCAGCTCTTTCTGTCATCGCCTCCAAAACCCTTTCATTCCTGCCCAAGGAAAGGAAAGGGAGAGAACTGCCTAGGTGCTTTGACACAGACATGCATAAAGGGTAGATCACGCAGGGGCACAGACCAGTTAGGAAATAGGACATTATTAATCCTCCAGATTTCTCACATTATTCTTCTTACCAATCCTAGAGCAGGGGCCAGAATCTGTCAAAAGCTAAGAACCATATCTTCAGAGAAATGCACTCCCTAAAACCCATCCATAGACTCCTTTCCAAATTAAGATGCCTGTTCCATGAAGTATAAATTGGTACAACTTTTGGAGGGGCATTTTATAGTACTAATCAATTTCTAATGTATGTAACATATGGCCTACTTCTAGAAATCTATCTAACATATATGTATAAATGTGAAAGAATATATGTACAAGGATGTTCATTATAGTATAATTTGTAACAATAAAAGTTCTTTTTATCACCTAGAACAGGGGAAGGAATCTGCTAAAAAAAAAAAAATGGGGGAATTATTAAATTATGGGACATACATACATATGGAACACTAAATAGCCACTAAAGATAATAAGGTAGATCCGTAAGTACTGACATAGAAGGATGTCCAAGATTTACTGTTAAATATTATAAAAAGAAACAAGTTGAAAAGAATGCATGGCATGACTTAGCTTTTGTTAAATGAAATACCTATGCAAAAATAAACATCTATCCTATATGTGCAGTTGGCTTTATAAGCATAAGGCACCATCCCTCAGCTCTAAGATACTATCTTCTGGGATAGCAGAAAATGTCTTAGAATCAAGGAAATGCAATATGTTTGCCTGTGCTTAGAAAGAAATTTATGAGACTATACCAAGCCATTAACAGTGGTTATCTCCGCTGAATAGGATCTGGCAAGGGATGAAGCTGTTAAATTCTACGTTATATAATTCTATATTGCTTGAATTTCCAAAAAAACATTGTGTCACTTCTGCATTTAAAAAAAAAAAAAAAAACAGTAAAAAGAAATCCTTGTTCTAGATTATACATACTTTTTTTTTTTTTGAGACAGTCTCACTCTGTCGCCCAGGCTAAAATGCAGTGGCATCATCATAGCTCACTGCAACTTCAAACTCCTAGGCTTGAGAGATCCTCCTGCCTCAGCCTCCCTAGTAGCTAGGACTACAGGCGGGCACCACCATGCCCAGCTGACAATACAGACATTAATGGAGATGTAGGTGACATCCTGCTACACCTCTGATAACCAGTGGTACACTGAGGATAGCCCCCATCACTTAGGAATTGTTCTTAAATATTAAGACTCTCAGTGTTCACTTCTGGGAAGAAATATGATTCCACCTAGTATTTAAGAGCAAGAGGACACACAAGCAACTCAATTTTCCTCTAGACTAAGACAAGATGGTAAAAATGAGAATGTAGAAGGAAAATAATCCCAGGCACATACATGTCCTCTGGCTGTGGTAGGATACAAAGAGCAGACAGCAGCTTAGCTGCATCAATCATCATGCTGGGAACAGCAGGATCCATGGCTCTGACCAGCAGCAGGATTCCTTCTTCTGTCTCCAACATGGTCTTGATTCCAAACTGGTAGGACAAGAACAGAGAAAGGAAGCTTAAAGATGACAGCATCTAAGTGGGGACAAGTTTAGGGGCTATTATGGGTTGAATGGTGTCCTCACCAAATTCATATGTTGAAGTCCTAACCCCCAGTACCTTAGAATGTAATCCTATTTGGAAATATAGTTGTTGCAGATGTCATTAATTAAACTACAATGAAGTCATACTAGAGTAAGGTAGGCCCCTAATCCAATAGGACTAGTGTCCTTACAAAAAGAGGAAATTTGGATACAGACACACACACAAGGAAAACCCCATAGGCAGAGATCAGGAGGATGCATCTACAAGCCGAGAAATGCCAAAGATTGCCAGCAATCTACCAGAAACTAGGAGAAGGGCATGCAGTATATTCTCCCATACAGCCTTCAAAAGGAACCAAGCCTGCTGACACCCTGATGTTGAACTTCTAGCCTCCAGAACTATGAGACAATTTCTGTTAAGACACCCAGTTTATGGCACTCTAGTGAACTATTAATAATATAGGGGTAGAATACTTTTCCCAACATAGGTAAACAGAGATGAGTATAGCAAAATAATTTTCCAGGAGACAACAGAATTCCATGTCTTCCAAAAACAAAAACCTTTGATTTCTGTGTTTCTTTTTAATACTCTCCCTTCCAATCCAATGGAATAAGTTAACTATAACAAACAGTGAGAAAGACAGATTTGTGCTCAGGTGCAAATAATTGTAGGCTCTCTGGGTTTAACTACTAAACAAACAAAAAAGAAGACAAAAAGATTCTAAAGTAGAAACAGTCTGGAAGGAAAACAACAAATAAATAACCAGGGAATAAAGCAAATCTTCCAAAAACAGTAACTACAGGTCACGAAATTCAAGAATTAACAAAAGATAGTAGTAAAGAAAGAGGAAGAAAATGGAGCTACTCCTGAAACAAAAGTTAGAACTAGGAAAAAATGTACATAGAAGCATGTACACGTACAGTTATTATATTAAAAGGGAAAGCTAGAAGTCTTAAACCTCATATTCCTAGTTCCTTTTTTGGGTTTGTCATAGAAAAGAAAGAATGGGGGTCCGGATAGGGTTTGGGGTGAGAATGGAAAAAAATCTCACCTTGTTGTTCATAAAAGCTTTCAAGCAGCGAATGATCTCATGCTTGTTCCGGCTATCATAGCTTCTATATGTAGAAGACATAATAAGTCAATATTATTGGTAGGAGGGGTATTCTATACCCCTTTCCCATTTGACTTTTCAATCTTGCAAATAAAGTTCTCAGGAATATCCCCAGCTAGTAGCTGAGTAAATTCTAGCATACAGTACTTGGCTCAGAACACTGACAAAATAGGTAGCTGAAGAGCAATCCCCACCATCAAAGAACTTTGGCTAATCCTCTTGTAATCCAAGAATTTAGTATTATGTTAAAACCTTCCCTTTAACTCCCTATAGGCTCCTAAGTGCTAAATTCTATCAGGATATATCCCATTTATTACTGCTTGCCGTGCTACTTCAAAGGTTTCAAGTCTGAGAAGGTAAACACAGGAGCTGCAGGCGCTATATTATTTTATTTTAGAAAGATTCCAGCAGTACTTTGCTTCAGGCTGGCTTCAAGGTAGACTGAGACAGTCCAAGGTATCCCCAGAA